GAAAAGAGAGAAGGACTCCCCAAATTCCGTGGCAGGCGCAGCAGCAGCCGGTGCCCTCGCCGCCCGGCGGCTCCCCCTTCGCTGCCCCGCTCTCTTACTCGGGCAGGGCAGGAGGGGGCCGCGCTCTGCAGGGAGCCGCTCGGTGCCCAGCCTGCCGAGCTGGTGCAGGGGCCGGAGCCGCTGCTGCGGGGCCCCAGCTCCGCACGTCGGAGCCCGCTCGGACCGAGCCGCCTGCACCGCCTTCCCCCGGCTCCTCCGGGTTTGTTTGCGCTCGAGCTGTCACCTCCAATAGCTCCTAACATCGCCCTTCGGAAAAGCAGGAGCACCCTCAACATTTCTAGCCCTGTCGGGCAGGTCCCCGTCGCTGAGTTTGGTGTGAAAGACTTTAAATAAAAACTGTAAAAATAAACGATGCATCAGGCCAGTTTGCAAACACACCGAGGTCAAACAGCGTGTTATTGGGCCTAGGAAGGCCAGGGACGCGCAGCGCTGCCTTGGCGGAATACACCTTCGTTACGCCGGGGTGTCCGGCCCGCTGCCCCTCCGCGGGTGCGCACGGGCCGCGGAGCCGTTTTGCGCACTCTATTCCCAGGGGAGGGGAGGGAGAAAGGGGAGACACGACACGCAGGGGCTGGGGGGCAGCGGGAGAGGTGGCGGTGCCAGGAGCCTCCGCACGTCCCTGTCCTGCCGCAGCCCTCCCGGCCCCTCGGACGCCGCCTGTGAGCGACYCGGTGCTGCGCCCGGCGCCGGCARCTCCGCCTGCCCAGCACAGCCCAGCACAGTTCAGCGTTGCCCAGCATAGCCCGGCGTTGCCCAGGACGGCCTGGCGTTGCCCAGCACTGCAGGACAGCCCATCAYTCCCAGTACTTGCCCAGCTGCCCCGGGGCCGTCAAGTGCCGAGGAGAGCGGGACCCCCCCCAGCTGAGAGCTGAGAGCCCTGCTGAGAGGGCTCCAGCGACGGGCCGAGCATCTCCCGTGGCTCTCCCTTCCCTCTGGGGTCCCCCCGAGGGGGCTTTCCTTAGCGCGGGAGCCTTTTAGCAGCTGCCGCGGGCGCGAGCGGTGGCGGCATTTCTGGAGCGCGCTGGTGACCCGAATTATAGAGTAAACTTAAAAAAAAAAAAAAAAAAAAAAAAAAAAAAAAAAAAAAAAAAAAAAAAAAAAAAAAAAAAAAAAAAAAAAAAAAAAAAAAAGAAGCCGAGGTGTCGCCGAAGCCTCTCTCGCAGGACGAGACTCTGCGCGCGCGAGAAACGAGCTGCAAGGCCGGTTCAGCTCCCGGGGGTACCTCCCCGAGGAGCAGCCTCGCTGCGACCGTCGAGGCCAGGACTCGCTGGCACGGGCCGGGGCAGAGCCGCACCGGGGCGGCCAGATGCGTATAATATATATAAAGTAAAGCAGAGCCTGGAGCAGAGGGTCTCGATGTCGTCAGCTCTGCGCAGTCACTTCAGCAGCTGGGTGCTTCAAGGACCGTTGCGCCCGGAGAAGTGGAGACACCCGTTAGGGCGGTCGTGTCCCGCTTGCGCGGGCGCGGAGCGGTCGCCCGGCCAGCAGCTCCAGCGAGAGCAGCGGCGCGGTTTGTTTTGAATGTTCATTGTTATTGGTGTTCTCCCTTTGCCAAAATGTGCTTCATTACATAGATTTGGTACCGTGATAACTACTCGCCAGAGACAGCCTAGGTGTAACCGGGAAAGTTCAGCCCAGGCCAGATCAAATCCCAGGCTGTTTAATGCTGAAAGGCTGCATGTTGCTATTAGTGTTAAATATATGGCTAATTATGCGTATGAAAATTAAACATCAGTGTTATGCTAATGGGGCCGCCTTCAGCTGTGGATCAGAGCACTTGAGACTAGCATTTAATCAAATGAATCAGTAACTAATACATCTGCACGTGTGAACTTTCACAAGATCATTTTCCTGTTACAGTCACACCGCTAAATTATGAAAGAAATAATTACCAACACTTTCTAATTATCTAACAAAGTAATTTAGGACGCGGCGCGGGCTTTCCGGGCAGGATCTCCCGAGTCCTTCCCGCTACCGCAGGGACTGTCACCCCGCGGAAGTTTGGGGCCGAGCCCAGAGGCGCCGAGAGGCGATTTGGGTGCAGTTATTCCGTTAAGGACGGTCCAGAGCTGAGCGAGGCGGTGCGGGTCACCGGCGCGGGGGCCGCGGGAGAGGCGGCGGCTCCGCGGGCCGCAGCGGAGAGCCCGGCGCCCGCGGGCTGTGCGCGCTGCTCGGGCCGCTCCGCTCCGTGTGCGCGGGGCTCCTCCGGCGGCACAGCCGCGCCCGCGGAGCTCGGCAGTGCCCGGGGGAGGCAGGGGGAGGTGCGTTGCCTCCCGCCTCGCCGCGCACGGGTCCGTCGCCCTCTGGCCCTGGCAGCGGTAGAGGAGAAAGGCGCGGCGGGAGCGGGCGGCCGAGGCTGGGAGCGGGATACGCGGGAGCCTCGGTGGCCGCCGGCAGCCGTCGGGAGAAGCGGCCGCCCGCGTGTGCGGCCGTCGGGGAGGCCGGGAGGCGCCGGGGGCGGCGGAGCCGTCGGGGCGGGCGCGGGGACGCGCGGCGCTCGGAGCGCAGCGCGCGGCGCTCACCGGGGTCCGGGCGAGCCCCGAGCGCCTCGGACCAATCCAAAGCGATTATGCAAGACGGCGGACCAATCAGCTCTGCCGSCTCATGAATATTCATAGGCTTGGCTGAGTCAAAGCTTTTAGGCGAGTTTGTGTAGATCTCCAGCATCATGCCTAGACTTTTCAAAGAGACAAACTCCATTTTCTTATGAATGGAAAGTGAAAAACCCTGTTCCGCTTAAATTGGGTTCTTTCCTGTCCTGAGAAACACAACAGACCCCAAAAAGGCAAGCTGAAGAGGGAGCACACACACAGAGCAAGCGACAAGAAATGACCATGACCACCATGCCAGAGAGTCTAAATAGCCCCGTCTCGGGGAAGGCCGTCTTTATGGAGTTTGGGCCGCCCAGCCAGCAAATGTCTCCTTCTCCCATGTCCCACGGACACTATTCCATGCACTGTTTACACTCCGCGGGCCACTCTCAGCCCGACAGCTCGTACAGCACAGCTTCGTCCTTCTCCCGACCGCTGGGCTACCCCTATGTGAACTCGGTCAGCAGCCACTCGAGCAACCCCTACATCAGTTCAGTGCAGTCCTACCCCAACAGCTCCAGCCTGGCTCAGACCCGGTTAGAGGAGACAGGTAGGTGCTCTCGGCTTGGGGACGGGTGGGGGAGGGGAGGCGAGGGAAGGGAGGCAGGGAGGGAGGGAGGCTGCTTGTTGTATCAAAAGAAAAAAAAATCGGTCTGGGGGGCAAAAAAAAAAAATTAAATTAAATTGCAAAAAAAAAAATATTAGCCAGGAGAGGCTAAGAGCGCAGGGGATCAGTTCCCAGAGCACACAATGCCCGGCTGGAAAAGAAATCAACCCAGATGTGCACGTATTAGTCTTCGTAATTATTTATTGCGTAGCGCTATAAACAATGTATGCAATTAAGGGTAATTAAACCTAAACTGCAGCCTGTAAAAATAGCAAACTTTCCCTGGAAAAGCCTGGGCTTCCATAATCGCCCGGCGCCTTTGTTAGCGGTTCTCGGGCTTCACTTTCCTCCCTTCTCATTACTGTTATTGTTGATGTTGCTGCTGTTATTATTGCTCTTGCTGCTGCTATTACTGTTACTGCTATTATTACTACTGCTGCTGTTATTATTATTTATTGTGCATCGTTTGTGGTTGTAGGGGCCGAATCGGAGAAAAGCACTGTGGTAGAAGGAGGGGAAGTTCGCTTTAATGGGAAAGGGAAAAAAATCCGCAAACCCAGGACTATTTATTCCAGTTTGCAGCTGCAGGCTTTGAACAGGAGGTTCCAGCAAACTCAGTACCTGGCTCTGCCTGAAAGAGCCGAGCTCGCAGCCTCTCTGGGACTCACCCAGACCCAGGTACGGCCCTTTCGCCTCGCCCCGTCCCTCGCCCTCGGTTTCCCCGCGGGAGCGGCCGGCGCAGCGGGGCCACGCGTGTCCGCGTSCCACTGTGGGCAGTGGGCCCAGGGGTCGCCCACCTCGTCGGGCCCGGGGGGCCCGGCAGCACCGGGGCCGGCAGCGCAGAGCGGCGGCAGCGCCCGGGGAGGAGGAGGAGGGAGAGGAGGCGGCGGCCGGGCCGGGTCGGGCCGGGCTGGGTCGAGCCGGGCCGGGCCGAGGGGCGGCGGTGACGCTGAGCGGGGCCGGCTCCTCGTTGCAGGTGAAGATCTGGTTCCAGAACAAGCGCTCCAAATTCAAGAAGCTGATGAAGCAGGGCGGGGCGGCCCTGGAGAGCGGCGCCCTGAGCAACGGGCGGGCGCTGTCGGGCAGCTCGCCGCCCGTGCCGCCCGTGTGGAACACGTCCTCGGCCGCCGGCAAGGCCTCCTCGGGCACACCGGGCACCTACATCCCCAGCTACACGTCATGGTACCCGTCAGCCCACCAAGAAGCTATGCAGCAGCCTCAGCTCATGTGATGGGAGAGCGGCTTTCACCCTACTGCGAGAACTGCAGGTCGCCACAAGAATCAAAATTATTAGAAGTGTAACGTTAAATAAAAGGAAAGGAGAAAAAAAGGAATGAAAAGAAAAGAAAAAAAAAGAAAAAAGAGAGAGGGGGGGGAGAAAGAAAAAGAAAAACAAAACAAATCCACCCAAGCACCCGAGCAGGAGGTCTCTTGCGCACGGAGCTGTTCAGACGCCGGGCAGCACAGATGCGACGCGGGCCCGTTCCCAGCGCCGACAGCTGACGGGGCGGGCGCGGGTGCGCAACAGCCCGCAAGCAGCGCGGACGCCCGACCTCCGCTTTGTGGCACAATCAGCGAAATATGTTCGTGGGGGGGGGGAGCCCTCTCCTCTGTCCTGTCTGTCTGTCTGTGTCTGTTGAAATGTAGGTCATTTATTTACTACCCCGATATGACGGTCTCCTCGATGGCGAGGGCGAGACAATCTGTACAATTCCTGGGGATTTTTTTCCTCTACGTTTTCTGTAACTTTCACTATTCATCTGTATATTTTCTGTTGTTAAAAGGGGAAGAAACCGATTTTATTTATTGACTGCAATTACCACTAGTAATGAGTACTAGAAAGAAACGAACAACGCGCCCTGCCCGGGGGCACTGCTCGGGCACACGTTTTCCTCGCAACAAAACCATCCGCACCCCAAACCACCGCGGAAGGAGAATGCGATTTTAAAGTTTCCCAGGGACTTTTATACTTGGTTGGTGCGGAAAGGTTTGTTCCGAGTGAGTTGCGTTTCTCGCGTATTTAGCAAAGGGAAATAAACGCAGCGCGTTTGACAGCGAAGCGGCAGTAGCTGCCGAGCGCTTTGCCGAGGGGAGCGAGGCGGCTGGAGAGCCCCAAGCCCTCGGGCCGGAGCTGCGCGGCTCTGCGCGCCCGGCCCGGCCCCGTGCGCGGCGCCCCGCGCAACCCGGTGCCGCTTCTCGTTAAAAGCCGCCCGAAGTCGCAATGCACAAACCGACGTGCAGGAGCTACTCGCTGTACATATTTGATTCTTAATTATTATTATTATTATTATTGTTCTGTAAACATGTTGCACAAATTTAGCTTTTTTTCCCCCCACCCCGTTCCGTTTCGTGTGGCTGTAAAACCTGATGCTTTGTGTACTGAGATCTTTTACTTGTGAACCTCGGAAGACGTGATCCCCTGAGCTCGGCTGTGTGTAGTGTTCTCTATGTCAAAATTTAGTTTTATATTGAGAATGTTAATTTATTGCTTTGTACCTGGGAAGGAAGGAAAAAAAACACACAAATCTTTGTACATAAGTTATAAATTTTCTTTGAGACAGTAAAATTATGGTTTGGAACAAGAGACACGCGTGCTCTGTGTCTCGCAGCGCGGCCGCGCTCCCCAGCGCCAGGAGAGCCCGAGCGCAGCGGGAGGGCGCTCGGCCAGGCCCGTCGGGGAGCGCAGGAGCGGCCGAGCGCGCAGGGCGCGGGCGGCTCTGGCTCCGCGGGCGCGCAGGGCCCCCGAACGCTGATCCCAGCCGGGCAGAGCCGCGGAGCGCTCCGCGCGCGGGACGGCCCCGCCTGCCCGGCCCCTGGTCTCCCCTTCGGACCGAACCGCGGCTGCGGAAGGTTCCACTCGTCGTTCGCGGGGCTGCGCGCATCCCGCCAGCGGCACCCCGGGCCGCTGCCCCACGCAGCCCTGCGCGGCCAGGGCCCTCGAAGGCTCCAAATGCCCTCGTAGGCGCCCGTCCCGGGGGCGCGCACCTCGCGCGCCCGCGGCCAGAGCCCCGAGCGCTGTGACCGGCCGACAACGCTGTGGTCAAACCGCCCCAGCGCTCCAAGATCCTTTCGCCGCTGCTAATTCAATAAGGTCTTACTAAGGTTCCAGGAGAGAAATTATTAGTTTTCTCCCAACGAGGCGGTCTTGAGTTAGGCTCTATTATAATAGTACATTGGAAAATGTTAATCTCGATACAGGTCTAATTAATTCTGCCTTGTTGCTGATAAGTAGTTCATCAAATATCTGATTCGAAGATTTTCATAATGAGGATATTAATTAAACTATGAATAATCCAAAGGTGCTTATATTGAAACAATACCTCATTACAATGATTAAGTCCTGATTTCGAATATTATACCTTTAACAATTGTCTCCCCGAAAACACAACCTTATGGATGAGTCCCTAGCTGGCAAAATGTAATTTTGGGATTTTTTTTTCCTTGCTGGAAAAAAAAAGAGTGCCCCTCATTTTCAAACACTTCTGAAATAGGTTACACACAGCTTAATGATGATCAAAATGACTCTTTTCTGCAAAAAAAGACCCCAAAGTGCGCGTACAGCTGCAAACCCAAGAGGGTCAGCATCATTTCACTGTATTCTCTTCTTGATTACAAGCCGAGCCCATCAAACACAACATAATTACAGTAATTTCAGGTTTATTTATTCTAATGCAGTTTCCCCATCTCTCTGGTAATTATGAGCAATTTTTTCGCCCAGGGAATCTTTTTGCATTAACAAAAGAGATAACGCACTGAAAGCCAAATTTGCTGTGCATTGAGAAAAGCGAAGAAAAAAAAATAAAATAGGTGCGAGCTGCCATCTCTGCAATTCTCCTATATTGGAGCTCTGCAAATTGCTTGCAGGTGTATGGAGCAGAGCTGTCAATAGGAAGGGGCTTCCAAATTAGCAAATGCACAATGTTGAAGTAATGAAGACAGACTTAGCAAAATTGCCAAACAACAGATACCTCTTTAATATCTTCCACCCAAAAAGAAAAAAAAATATCCCTTTGGAGTGTCCCTGTGAATCCCCTTGAATGGCTGGGGATGTTGTACATGTGTCAATCTAATTGCAGAGCACAGAGCAGCCCCTGAATCTAGAAAAAAAAAAAATCAAATATCAGAGTCCAAGTCGGTTTGCATTTGATATTTGCTCCCTCCGTTAGACTGGGGAGGGGGAAAAAAAGGAATGCCTGTGGCCGTCGCCCCGGCTCTCCTCGCGCCAGCCCCGCTCCTGCCGCCGGCGCCACTTTTACGCCACGGAAAAAGAGAGAGAAAAAAAAAAAAAAAGTAAAATTTCCCCCCGCTCCGGTGCCCTCCCCAGCAGCCCGCTCGGGAGCCCGGGAAAAACGCTCCCGTTTGCCATAAACCGACACGCAAACAGCCCGAAAGCGGCCCCGCAAACGCCTGGCCCGAGAGAGAGCGACGGCGGCAGCGGCGGCGCCGCCGTTAGCGGCTCCTGCCCCGCGCCCGACGGGGCCCCCGGTGCCGCCCGCGCCTCGGCTCTGCCCTCGCGGCGCCGCGTCCCGCGCCCGTCCCGCCGGGGCCGCCGCCGCAGGGCATGTGCGGGAACCGCAGCCGCTTCCGCGCCCTCCGCGGGCGCCCCGTGCCCCGCGGGAGAGGCAGCCGCGTGCACCCTTACCTCGAGCTCCGCGGTCCGCAACCAGCGCTGGCCTTTCCGGCAGAACGCGCTCACCGAGCGCGGCTTTTTGCTAGGAAAGTTACAGGAGAAGCAGAGGGTCAGGGACAGAGAGAGGGTTGGGGAGGGAAGGAAAAGAAAAAAAAAAAAAAAAAAAAAAAAAAAA